TTTAAGGAGGCTGCTTCAGTGGACGTCAAGCTCGGCTTATTTGTTGACTGCGGTCAAATAAGTTTCCACAATTCAACCTTGACAATATCAGCGAAATCAACATCATGAAGGAATGAATTCGCATTATCCGCCAAAAGAAAATGTCCTTGTTGCTGAACAGTAGTGAATGCCATTAAAAATTAATGCGAAGTGATATCGACCACGCTTAAAACCTAAATCGAAAGCCTTCATAAGGCCATTTAACCCCCGGACACACGCAAAAACATACCCTCACTGTGGTACAGAGGGGAATTGATGGAACCCCTCCCCAGAGTTTTTGCTATGTTGCATTATTTTTGCCTTCAGTGGAAAGCGTCTCATCTCACCAAGATGAGGCATATTTTATAAGTGGTGGGACTGCTGGTAGGCTTTGGTAGATTGTGCTCGAAAAAAAAGCATATTATGCTTTTAACAGTGCTCATATTTTTTAGAAATTATGCCAAAATTATGCTACTTTCTGAAAATTACGCTTTCTCAGTCACCGAAATTATGCTACTTAGATTTTACACTGATTTTAAGGAAAATAAAGATCATCAGTGCCTTAACTCTATCAATTTGACTTTAATGAACATTCATATAGTCCACCTTCCAGTCTCACAGTCTTTAGCATTGCAAATACGCATGTGCGCACATGATCTCGCTTTTTTGTCACTTTTAACTTCTCTTTGCCCGCAGCATGTTTTTTGGAAGCCAAGTAGTTTTTGAGAATGCTCTTTTTAGAGCTCAATATCTCCTTACACCCATTGCAAAACAGTTTTCCACCTCGAAGACACAAATTTTTCCCTGGGAATTCTTCGATTCGATCACGAGGACTCACGTTCTTTGGATCTGTGTTACCTCTTTCCTTGTACTTTCGGGTATTACTTTTAGGAACACGTTCTCTAGAGATTAAAGCTCTCGGTACGGCACCGGAATTGGTGGAAGTGGATGTACTCGAGGACGACGCTATCTCTGATCTGAGGCCTGAGGGACCGAGCCGCCGAGCCATAAGCGTGGTGGCCTGAGTCTCAGTCTTACGCACAGGGTGACCTCTGCGGCCTGCCGGACCATATTTGACAAGGGGCTTTAGCACAGACCTCAATATTTTCCAAAAGCAATACAGAAATAAAATTCAAACTGAATTATTCTAGAGCTATGATGGGTTTTTTTGTTTTCAACGCATAAAAGGTCGGATTATGCTAGCAGTGCTAAACTGAAATAAAAGCTTAAAATAATGCTCGTTTTGCTGAATTATGCTCAAAATTATGCTAGCACAATCTACTAAAGCATAGCTGCTGGACGCCTGTGACGTCACCAAACATAGTCACCATCTTGGTCGCCATCTTGAATTTTACCATGAATTAGAAAACCGGGTAAAAACCGCGAGAATTGGCAATTTTCTGTTCTTGACATGACAAATAACACATAAATAAGTACTTTGCATCATTTTATCCTCAAGCTTTAGGTTTAGTATTGAAAGAAGTTAAAAAAAGAAAACCCGCATTTTAACCACATGCAGGAGCCTACCAGGCTCCTGCCACATGCTACTTATGACGTCATATATCATAAGCATAGTAACTGACCATCACTAAACTAGACTCAAAATGCACAAGAGGGATAAAAGAACAACTACTGAAACCGCCAGGTGCTGTTGTTTTATCGTCTAGAAAAAAAACGCAGGAAAACCTCAGAGGAGAGGGCAGGGGCGCGGTGGAAACCACTCCCCCTTTGTACGTCCAAGAATTAAGTTTACTTGCAAACTAATTTAACAGGTAATATTGGACACATTTATTTCCCCAGAACCCACAGTCTAAAAAGAAGCATTTTCAGCTGAATGAGAATTTCACACGAAAGGAGGCGTAAATCCATATTAGTTTGTAGGGCTTCAACGATTAACCAAGGATGTTGAATGGAATGTTCCTTTCGGGAGAGGGTTGGGGGAGCAACCATACTATGAGGTATCAAGAGCTATAACAGGACAGAGAGGGAGTTTAAGGGCGTTGGCCTGGATATCTTAATTTCAAAAAAGTTATTTTCAGAACTATGCGGACCACGCGGAAACAGTTCCCGGTAAAGTTGTTGGCTTCCGGAAGACTCGCTTTCACGATTGAACTCGCCAAAGCGAGGCGGAGTCAGCAAATGAAAAAAAATGGCGGCCTAAGTGGAAAGACTTTGAGTTGATCAATTGTCCTACTTCAACGAAGAACCTACCATAGAAATTGGTCAAAACTACTACACAAACGGGTCCTTTACAAGCAAGCGTAGAAATACAGTTAAAGCGACCGCGTGACCATCGTTTTTGTTGGAACAGCTGGAAAGGGAGAGCACAAGTAGTATTGCGGCCCACATACGCATTGAACACAAAACCCGCGGGTCCTACAAAGACGTTCGTACAAGCGACCGTGTGGACGAACGTGTGGACGTATTTTCTCTTGAAAGAGGGAGAAAAAAAACGTATAAAGGTTTCTAGTATTTTTCTCAA